CTTATGAATTCCATACGATGAAAACAGTGAGAGAGAGAAAGAGAAAAATAAAGAAAAAGAAAACTTTGGGTTTAACTTTAATTGGGGGGGAAAAAATTGTTTAGGGAAACGGAAATTGTAGTAATCGATCAACTCTTGAATCTCTAAGTGAGATATACATTGAACTATGCTAATCTAAATAATAATAATTGAAAGAAGACAAAGTGGAGGAGAAGCAAACAGCAGAAACAGCACGATATAGATATGTGTCTGTATAGAAATGAAACATAAATCGTAAACAATCGATTATTCCAAAGTGAAGGGTTCGAATTTGTCGACAATATCGTTTCGATTCGGTCGACATTAAAGGTGGTAAAACGTAAGAGACCCGATAAAGTCGTTTAATCTCGTATCTCTTGCTATTCTCGAGTAATACATAACTCTACAATAAGAATAAGAAGAAGAAGAAGAAGAAGAGGAAGAAGAAGAAGAAGAAGAAGAGGTGGAGGAGAACGGTTAGGAATGGGGGAAAAGGTGAGGTGAGGTGAGGTGAGGTGAGGTGAGATGAGGTGAAAGGGAAGCCGTAGGGTGGCAGGAAAGAGAAACGAGGGAAGGAATGAAGAAGCCTTCGATATACTACTACGATATGTTCAGGTAAAAACACATACTAAACCAATAACCATCACCACCTACACAGATAAGAACGTGTTTATTGGGTTGCCCCGTTAAATTCCTTTCATTGACTTTTAACCAAGTTTTCAAGGCTACCAACCCGGTATATAATGCGTGTTTTGATACACGTAATACGATATAGCGAAAGAAATATTTTTTAAAAACATGTGATAGGTGTTTAGCAAGTAATCGTTATCTCTCATAATTGTTGTTAATTAATTGGGCTAAAAAAGTTTTCATCGCTTTGATTTCAATTTCTGTTGAAAATTTGTATCAATGTTACATTTTTCTAACGATTACTTTTCTTTCTTTTTCTTATTCTTCTTTTTTTTCCCCTATGGGAATCGGACTGTGGGATTATTGTGTTCAATCTTTTGATTTTTTTGTTTTTTGTTTTAACGAGATAAACGATTATACGAACGTACAACTGGAATCAGTTGCAGAGTTGCAGAACTTTATTGGATTTAAAGATGTCTCACACTTCTTGACGTGATAGGATAGGATAGGATAGGATAGGATACCAACCAACCATTCAACCAACCAACCAACCAACCAACCCGTGACCCACTTATCTTTCTCCCTGTCGGCAAATCGCAAGTGATCGTACGGTGTTCATTTTTCTCGTGCCTAACATCTCCTCCTCCTCCTCCTCCCTCTTTTATCGAGCACCTCTCGTCCCATGAAAATCGATCGAACGACGACTACACACACGTAAAACGCGTAGGCGCGTTTTACTTTTAGAATGAGAAAAAGAAAAAAGAAAAAAAAGAACTCTCCCCACGAGTATAACTCGCGACTACCGAGGATCACATCGGATCGCCCGTCAACTATGGTTTCTTGTGTCATGCGCCAATTTTATTTCAATCCTTAACACCTTATCCATCCATCCATCTTTTCTGATAATAATTAACCCATGCGCGTTAACTTTTAAATACAAAAACTTAGAGCCAAATTAAACGAGATTATCACAAATAAAAACCCCGTTAAATAATACAATAAATTAATAAATGCAAAACTTGATTCATTCTAAATTCATTTCATGATTATCTTCGAACAGTCATCCTAAAAGTAAAAAAAAAAAAGGATAATACTATAACAATTAACTTTCATTTCATTGATTTATTTTCCCATACAAATTATTAGATAATATGATCATGGTCATCATAAAAATGTATACGTCAACCATGTATCTTTTTCTCTCTCTTTCTCTTTCTCACACCCTTTCTTTATATAATTTCTTTCTTTAAGTTAAATAATAGACAAGAAAATAGTAAAAAGACGAGTTAGAGCAGTAGGATTTTAGCAAAAGCAACGTCGTGTTGGCAGCAGCCGAGAAACGCTGCGTCGTCGTCGCGGCTTCCCTGCCGATCGATCTATCGATCTCCTCCTCCTCGTTCCTCCTCCTCGTTCCTCCTCCTCGTTCGTTCGTTCGTTCGCTGCCTCTGCCTCTGCTGCTGCTGGCTGCTGCTGCTTCTCGCCACGAAGAAACGCGAACCGTCGCGTTGCTTCTCTCTCTCTCTCTCTCTCTCTCTCTCATACTCTCACGTTCAATCGCGAGTGAGTGAGTGAATAAGTGAGAGAGAGAGAGAGAGAGAGAATGATGGGGGGAGCTGAGGGGGGTGGAGAAAGGCGGGCCTAGCGCCGCGACATATCCGCTCGATTTACTTTCCCGACTCCCTCCTGGTCTTCCTGTCTCCCCCCCGACCCGTCCTCCACCTCCTCCCTCCTCTCCCTCTCGCGTTCGTCACCCCTCTTAACCCACCACCACCTCCTCATCCTCCTCCTCCTCCTACTCTGAACCCAACCCGCTTTTTCGCCGCACAAAGGCGAAGGGAGAACAAAGAGGGGGGTAAAGCAAGCCAACCAAGCGAGTATGAGTACGAGAGAGAAAGATTGATAGAGTAATACGCTCGGTGAAATGAGTTAAAGAGAGAGAGAACTATATAACTGTTCGTAGCCGTTGCCGCGTCCGTGAACAACGCGAGAAAGCGGGTGCGTCGCGCGTTTTAAGTTGCCGGTGGGTTTCTTCTTCTTCTTCTTGCGTGTGGTATGGTGTCCCTCTCTCTCTCTCTTTTTTCTTTCTCTTTCTATCCCTTTCGTTTCGTGTGTGTTTATGCCCGATGCCGATGCCGATGCCGGTTCCAATGCCGGTGCCGTTGCCGCCGGTTTATGCCGGCATTTCTGTCTACACCGCGTGTAGTTCCATGCTTGTACATTTCTTCTTCTTTTTTTTACTTACTTATTGCCTCATTTCTTTTTTTTTATAACCTTCTTCCATGCCGGTCAACGTAAAGTAAGTAACTGACTGACAGAGAAAGAGAAAGAGAGAATGTATAGCAAAACGATTATGCGATCAACGTTAGCGTGGGACAACAACCCCAATGGAAAATAAATGCGGTTAGATATGTTCGAGTCTAACAAAAAAAAAAAAAAAGGTATAAGAAAATGGAAAAAGTAATAGTAAAAGAAAAGAGAAGTATGCGACGGTTTTTTTTTCTTCATGAATGGTCGGAAACAATGCATAATAAAATCCTCAATGATTGATATTATTATAGGGTGTGAACGATAGCGTATGGTAAAAGAGGTGGGTGGTGTATAGGTATCGTAGAAACAAAAGAAGAAGAAGAACAACAAATCGAATCAAAAGTATCAGACTCTACAAAAAGTAGCAAACCCAGTTTATTAGATTTTCTCCATCCATTATTTACAAGAAGAAAAAAAAAAATCATAGAGTATATCGAAAAAAAAAAACTTGCGATGATGAGTGTTTTTCTTAGTCTCATTCGCAAACGCATAGGACTGACGACTACGACGAGTCACTTTCGTAGGGAAAGGTCCAGCAAAGGGGGAGGGGAAGAAAAAATAGGGAAGAAGGGATAATAGGAGTGCGTAGCTTGGCAGGGGGTCGGTTCTCTCTAACTCTCCTCTCTCTTCTCTCTAACTCTCCTCTCTCTTCTCTCTCCTCTCTTCTCTCTCTGGTCTCGATTATGTCGCTCTCGAATTTAGCCTTGTACGACGCGCTCTCTCGCGCGACTAATAACAAAGGGGTTGGTTGGTTGGTTGGTTGGTTGGTTGGCTGGTTGGTTGGTTGGTAGGTTGCTTGCTTGCTTGCTTGCTGCAGGGAGTGCTGCACGGAAGACTCGACTAGCGTAAAGGGCCGTCGGGCTCTTGGCTGGCCGCCGGAGTGTAAGGGAGTACGAACGAACAGAGAAAGAGAGAGAGAGAGAGAGAGAGAGAGAGAGAGAGGAAAAGAGGGCAGACTCGAGAGCGAGAAAGAGGAAGAGAAGAAGGTGGAGAGGATGACGACGACGACGACGACGACGACGACGACAACGACAACGACGACGAGAAAGAGGATGAGGTAGAAGAGGAGGATGAAGGGGGAGGGAAGGCGGTGACCCGCGGTGCCTGTCTGCTGCGCTGGCCGCGTTTCAGAGCCGCAGTTCTCCTAGCAAGCGTTATACCCACTACTCTCTCTCTCTCTCTCTCTCTCTCTCTCTCTCTCTCTCTCTCTCTCTCTTACTCTCTCTCTTCTCTCCCTCTCTCTCTATCGCGTTCTTTCTCCCCGTATATAGCGCGTGTGTGTCGGGTGGCAAATGGGTGCGCGCGGGCGCCCGCGCTCACGCGATTCCGAGGGACCCGACACATACACATACACACAGAGAAAGAGAAAATAGAGGAAGTGTGGGGGAGAGAGAGAACACATGGACGGGTAGCTACGACGACGATGAGGACGAGGTGGTAGTAAGAGAAGTGGGGAGGGAAGGAGAAAACGTCGACGGCGAAGGCAACCTCTCTTTCTCACAAACACACATCGACAACATCCACCCATATATATATATATATACACACACACGTTCTTACTCAGTCGGTCGGTCGGTCGGTCGGTCTTGTAGTGCTCGAAGAGGCTATACGAACGACGAGGGCGAGGTGGCGAGCTGGCGTTGAGGAGAAAAGGGACGAGGAGGACGCGAACCGAGGAACGTTCTCGCGGGGCGACGGGGCCGACGGGGGCGACGGGGGCGACGGGGCGTCGGGGAGAAAGAACGGAGGTAATTTGAGCGTCACACGCCGAGCGGGCGAACAGCTACGAACGAACGTACGAACGAACGGAACGAACGAACGCCAGGCAACGTTCTATGTGCTACATAAAGAGCCAGCCCCCCTTATGTACCCAACCGACCCATCGCGAACCTACGATGCGACGCGAGTCCATGTACAACGCGTCCCAAAAGTACCGTGCTGTTAGTCCCTCTCTCTCTCTTTCTCTACCCATACCAGCATCTACTACCTTCCTACCTACCTACCTACCTATCTAACCTATCTACCCACCCACACACACATACCCATCTATACACCTACATATTATACCTGTATATATTTGCTTTTGCTATTGGTTTGCTCTTGTTCTTGTTGCTTTTGCCAGTAGTGTTCCCGATATGCCGCGCGGCAACGCGAACACGTTGCCATCCGTTCCTAGATATAGAACACCATACACACGATACTCCACCAGCAGCAACCCCCCTTTAACCAACACCACCCGCCCCAATTCTAGTATACTATACTCTAACACCCCTTCTACTTATCCTTCTACTCTTCTTCTTCTTCTTCTTCTTCTTCTTCTTCTCTTCGTTCTCTTCCTATCTACCCCCTTCTGTTCTTCCTTCCTTCTCTACTCTCACTCTTCTAGCTGGGAAATGGCTTGAACCCAGGTTATCGAGGGTACCTTAGATGCCCTGGACGTTACAATCGAAGAACTTGGGGTTATTATACCGTAAACCCTATAAGGGAAGGCCATCAGAATGCTTGCCAAATTTTTTACATGCCCGATATTCCTACGGGGATACCTCCTCCACCTCCTCCTCCTCCTACCCGCGACAGACGGTTAACGCGCTTAATTGTGGGTGTGGTTTTCTTTTTCGAACAGAAAACCTTTACTTTTTATCTTTTTTCTTGCCTTTTTTGTTTTCACTTTATTGGTCCCTTCGTTTTATTCTTCCCTAGTCTGTTATGTGTATGTGTCTATGGGGGTGTGTGGGTGTTGTGTTCATTCCGAGCTTAATTCGACCATGCTCTGTCATTCATTTCTTTCTTTATCTTTTTTTTTCTGGATAAACGGGAGTATTAAAAAAAAAAGGACAATGAAGATGATGATACCTGAAGTATCAATGCGATCAGCAACCTTTCAAGATCGTTCAGTCATTGAAATATCAAAGGACTCGGTGAGTAATCGATAATCGAACTTGAATTTAAGCGTAGACACATTGTGGTAATATTTATAAATCTATGGAGATAATAAATTGATAACTATTTATGTGATCATTTAAAATAGAATTCATGTAATCAATCTTCTGTGGTGTGTTTGCTCAATTAAACAAATTAATGATTCAATTAACGATTACATTTGAATCGTATTCGTAATAACATGATTAAAAATTTTCTACGCGTTATCGATAAAATAAACTTTTCATATTTACGTAATATATAAACATTTATATTAATATAATAATTTTAATATAAATCATTAAATCGTTTATAATAATTATCTCTGTTAAAATTGAATTAATCCGAAATAGTGTATTATAATATTATATTATACCGTTAAAGGAAAATTCTACAAAATGATAAAATTAAGATGAACGAATAATTGGAATCATAAAAATAAATAAATAGGAGAAAAATATTTGTAAAATGTTGAGAAGAGAGAGAGACAAATTAAAGAAAAAGACAACAACAACAAATAATATAATCAAATAACTGGAATAGTTTTATGGTCCTTTTCGAAAGCTTCCAATATATAGAAATGTATATAAACTGCATACGCTTTGCTATATACATGCCTTACTGATATACGACGAGTTCCGAAAGCCTTTCGAAGATAGGTAAGCCAAGATAGGTTCCTTCCATAGTCGGTCTACGACAAGAATCGTTGTCGTTCGATGGGAAAGGAGCATTAACGAAATTGTTGCGGCGTAACCACGTTCCTTCCACCATCACCACCACCACCATCACCACCACCCTACGCGAACAGAGAGAGAGAGAGAGAGAGGTTTCTATACTCGTATGGTTTGCTTCCAAGAAGCGAATCTTTGCGAGAAGGGGATGAACAAGGGTGGAGGTGGAGGTGGAGGAGGAGGAAGACAGTTTCTCGATGAAATCGATGAAATTCAAGTCAAGGATTAAATCCTTCCGTTGGATTTTTCAACATTACATCGTTAAACTTTTATTCAATTCTCATAAGGATTAACTAAGTTTTCCAACGAATAGTATAAGGGTTCTTTTGTCTTTTTGTTTCAATACTTTCTACGAAACTCACCAGTTTTGTTTTTTCTTTTTTTGTTTAGAATTCGGTTCACCCTAAGTATTGAATTGTCCAAAAAAAAAAATTAGGTTTGTATTAATTGATTTTGTTGTTCGTAGTCATTATAGGACTGAATTGAAATGAAACAATATCTGATCTGAACAAAACCCTTGCGCAAGTAATGACACGGCATTCTAACAGGACCCTCTCTCTCTCTCTCATATGTTGCATATTTTATTTTCTTGATATCTAATGATCGTCATTTTTAAAGAAGAGTAAAAAAGAAAAATACAAAAAGTCCCATAGCACGTGTATCAAACATACGATATTACACGATAAGTGGAACAATGGTTAAGTGCAATGTCGAACGAAAAATTGATGCAGGTTTTTCAAATGGCAACAACATGTTTTAAACCGTTGAATAGGGGTATTAGGAGTAATGATTAATGTTACGATAGATGTCATTTGATATCGTTCTCAATCAAACCGAAATTAATGACGCTATTAAAAAAATATCTTCAAATTTGCAATTCATCAATAGGGAAAAAACATGTTTTTACGTTTATACGGGTCTTTGATGAATGTTACAATCCATATTAATTGTTATGTAAAACAGCTTGCGCGTATATTTACAAAATTACAAATAATTCAACATATTTCTCTTAATATTATATTATATATATATATATANCACAAGGGTAAAAGAAAACAGAAAGGCGGAACGAAAGAAACGAAGTGGAACTCGAGTTTGTCGGCATATATATATATATATATATATATAATATTATCCCCCATAAATGTATAGATATATAGTCAAATCAAATTGCAACAGATACAAGTTACGTTCGCGTAAATTCAAATAATATCAATGCAACAATATATTTGGTGTAGAACACCAACACTTGACAACTTTCCCGTCGTACATTTAGTTAACAAGATTGATGATATAACTAATTATTATTTCAATTATTCCCCACAATATTGAAATCGATCGAAATCGAACTAATTTTATTATTGAACATTTTCCAAGAAAAGAGAGAGAGAGAGAGAGAGTCCTTTTAAAAAAAAAAAAGAAAAGAAAAGAAAAGAAGAAATCGATCGTTCCACGACCAACCCAAGATGGATGACCAATTTTCTTAGAGTCCAATTCGAAGCCAATGGTGTGCTTGCTCCTCTTTTACCGTTTAATTACAAGCCACCGTTCGAATCAACCCCTTCATCGAAGAAAACGTATCCCGAACGAAAACCTTACGTCTCTGTTTAGCCCTCAACAACCCATAGACCCCACCCCACCCCATCCCATGCCCCCCCACGCCACCAATCCACCATCTCTTCCTTTTCCTCTTCGTCTGGCTCCTTCTCCTCCCCGAGTAGTTCGTTTCGAAGACGTTCTCGCGTGACGCGAGAGAGTCGACCGGATCCGGTGAAGGGGACGGGACGGGATGGGGTGGGACGGGTAGAGGAATCACGATTGTCGGTATTCGTGGCGCAGCACAAAGAGAGGAAGAGGATAGAGGAGAGAAGGTTGATGGAAAGGTCGTGCGGGGCAAAACGCGAGAAAGAGAGAGAGAGAGAGAGAGAGAGAGATAGAGAGAGAGAGAGAGAGAGAAGAAGAAGAACCGAGGTGAGCCGAGGGCGACGGGGGCCAACGGAGGGAGAATAAGAGGGACGGGGTGGGTTAGGGGGGGACTTTAGGGGGAGGGTAGGGTCGCGCGATTAATTCGCAGAACGACGAAGGATATTCCCGCGGCTGGTCCCGTATAAGCCCCCTTTAACCCCCTCGGCCTCCCCTTGGTTTCCCCTCGAACGAGCGAACGAGCTAACCCACCCTACCCCACTCGGCCCCTTTCCCATGTTCCATCTCACTTCCAGCAACGTTGTCCGCCGCGGCATTAGGCGTCGATCTACCGAGATACGGAGATCGAGGCAGCGGTGCTTGCCCCTGGCCTCGTCGATGCCGAGCACGTCTGCCTTTTGGGGCGCGCGTTCTAACACATACATATATAATAGTATATATGTACTTATATATATATATATATATAGGTATATGGCCCTATGGTATATATAGAAAATCGAGCTTACACGTTTCTCTTATGGTGTATGTATGTATGTGTGTATGTATGTAGGAGGAGGAGGAGGTCGAATACATATGTGTAATTCGCGAGGGCGAGTATATATGTATTCGAGGATTCTTATGTACGTACGTGTATATATATATATATACTTGGTGTACATTATGTAAACCCACGGTTCGCGTTTACTCGGCGTGTAACCTACTACTACCAATTCGCGAATTTCTACCACGTATAAACGTAGTACTCTCATGATAGAGTATACCTTCGACGATAGAACCTACGTATACGAATATATATATATATATATGTATGTGTGTGTATGCGTGGGGACGCGTATTTCTCCAACGAACTGGTATATATATATCAACCTATGTATTTCTACTTGGTATATAACATAAATGTGTATGTGTATGTGTATGTGTATTCCAGCAGCTAAACGTGGACCACGTATCTCCACACATACATATATACTTACGTTATATACCGGTATATCTACCTACGTCTCTTTTCTACAAATACATAGAAGGAACCGCGTATTACGACACGTGTGGTTACTCCCTGAGATACACGCATAGAAACGCACACGTATACATAAACGTAAGGACGACCAACGACGACGACGACGACGACGACGACGACGACGACGACGAAGACGACGAAGACGACATCGGTCCAACGTTGGTTGGTCGACACATATATAAAGATCCTATATATAAATGTAAATGTATGTATGTATATATGTGTCCTACGTGTATATACCTATCTATCGTTTTATATATATATAACGTTAGCCTCATGTAAAACGGGGGTAGGATCGCGGCTCTCCCTACTTTCCCCCTAACCTTCCCCCCTGACCACCTCATCCCACCCTTCGTTCGGACGCCCACCCACCCGCCTACCACGCTACTTGCTTTACTCTCTCTCTCTTACTCTCGTTTGCTTGCTTGCTTGCTTGCTTGCTTGCTTGCTCGCTCCCGCAGTCTTTCGGTTGAGCGCGTTTACTCTCTCTCTCTCTCTCTCTCTCTCTTTCTCTCTTTCTCTTTGTCTCTCTCATGGTCTCCCTTTGGCTCCCGCGAGCTGCCGGGGTCACTTATGTATATAGAGGATCGAGAGCCGACTACTCTCCTCTGTTTCTCCCCTTCGCTCTTTCATTCTCCCATTCTCTCTCTCACTCACACACTCTCTCACTCTCTTGAGTACGCGCTAGAGTCTACGCTCGTCTCGCGAACTCGCTTGCAGACCAGATCCATAGTTAATTACCGGCCTAATCTCTATTCGCGATTGCCCGAAACCGCTCGTAAATCCCTATCGGTGTATGTACGTATGTATGTATGTATATATGTGAACGTTGTATATGTATAAGGATTCGCGCGCTATATATATATATGTATATGTATATGCGTGGGGACGATCGCGAGTCGCGCGTGGGCGTGTTTCGCGCGCGCGAATCTGACTCTCCTTCTACGTAACGCTTCGTTGTCTCTCGGTATTCGCGATATTCTCTCTCTCACTCTTTTTCAGTCTCCCTCTATCTCTCACTCTCTCATTCCGTCTCTTCGAGTTGGAACCCAACGTGTGTGTTATGTATGTGTGTGTGTGTGTGTGTGTGTGTGAGCGTGGAGGATGCGCGAACGCGAACCGCGGCGTGAGAACGCCGTGTTGCACGGGAACCGAGTAACAGAAAGAGAAAGATAGAAAAAGAAAGAGAGAGAGAGAGAGAAAGGGAATACGATCTGGTATCTTGTCTATATATATATATATATATATATGTGTGTGTGTGTACGCGCGCGCGAGAGGGAAAGAGAGAGAGAGAATGGTAGGGTAAATGTATGGGTGGAAGGAAACG